TTTGGGGGGTTCCCCCACACCCTTCCCGGGTTGGGGGGGTTCCCCCCCCCCTTTCCCGGGGGGGGGGACCCCCCTGAGGGCCCTGAAGGCCATGGGAGGGGGGAGGAACTCGGGGCTTTGGGCCAAGCTCGCCCAGATTTCGGCCTTTGTTTCGGGGCAAACGGGGGGGGCCCCAAAGGGTTCCCTCCCCGCCCTCAATTGGGTAAAGGTCCCCCCCGGGGGGGGGATGGGGGCCATCAAAAAGGACCCGGCTTTTCGGCCGGGGCCTTCCCTGGCCCCCCCCCCCCCCTTCCCCCGCTTTTTACCCGCAGCCCTCTCTTTGGGGGGCCCCCCCCGCCCACCCCCCCCCCCCCCGCCTCGCCGGGCATGCGGCGCGCCCCCCATCCTCTCTGGCTCGCACCACCTCTCGGCGCTGCTGGACTCGCGCCTGCTGCAGAGGCAGTGCGTGGCGGTGGTGCACGGCCACACGCATGCCGGTGTCGGCCTCTCAAGTCTCGGCCGCGTTCCGGTGATCAACCCTGGCAGCCTGCGCTTCGGACGCCGGTTCGGCCTCCTCACCCTCCGCCGCGAGCCGGACCAGTGGCAGCTCGAGTCTCTCCACTTCCACGCGCTAGACGGCGTCTCGCCCTCCCACGGCTCCTCCGCCCCGACAGCGGCGAGCCTCGCCCTCTCGCCCCCCGTGGCCGACGCCGCGGCTGCGTGCGGCGAGTGGCGGCCATGGCTCCTGGCCGGCGGGGCGCTCTGCCTCGCCGCGCCCTTGGCCCTCTCCCGGCTGGCCTCGCTGCTCGCGAGGCTCTCTGCCGGCGCCACGGGCTACTCTGGGGTGCGCGCAGGCAACCACGTGTTTTACGACCCGGGGGGCAGTGAGACAGAGAGACGGTCTGGTGAGCGGCCACTCGTGTATAGTCCAAGTCGAGCGTAGGCGGAGGAGGGCGTGTGAGAGAGTGTGGTGTGTGCGTGTGTTTTTTCGCGCGGTTTTAAGCGACACGCGCAGGGGGCAGAGCGGCCATAAAAAGGTAAAAGAGCTCGTCTTTCCGTTCTACCGGCTCTACCCGCACCGTACACACCCCCGCGCGTGTG